ACTAGTTCTGCAGTTAACAGACAATGGAGAATAGTTACTGGCCTTTGTTGAAAGGTATAACAGGCAGAGCTTGTAGCAACCTACAGTTAAGATTGCCTAACACTTTCTATTAACTCCTGTTTTCAGTTGCTAATAAAGGTGTCAAACTTTAATCTCTCTGACTGAAAATTTTCCATGCTTGCTCTCTGCCTCAGAATGAATTTTTGGAATATTTCAGCAAAAGGGAGAATAAGGCTAAGGATTAATAGGTAGTTTGGCCAATGTTAACATTTTTTCCAACCATTCCCTTGAAGAGCTTTAGCGCCTCCTTGTTTTGGAGCAAGACTTGGTATTTGGAAAAGGGGTGAGCCTAGGTGCCAGAGATAGGGTTTTTTCTGTCCCCATGACAGAGTTACAAAGGTGCACGTGCTCAGTGGAGCTTGTTAGGCGCTTGCTGCTAAAACCTCCAAATGTTCCACCCAGCTCCATAAAGCTACCTACATGCCAACTCCACTATGTTGCAGTCCTACAGAGCTCCCCACATGATAGGCACAAAGCTAAAGCTCCAGATATAGGAATGCTCCAGTAGCTTTGGCCCATGGGTGGTTGTATTGCATTGGGAGTGAGGAAGAGTGAGCCTGTGAGTTCTAGTTAGGGTTCTTCCATTAGCTGGTGTTAATTCTATGTATGTCACTTCCCAGGCAGTCTTAATTTGTCCCCTTATGTGTATGCATGATGATGGTATTTAATTGCATGTTTACATACTACTTGTTCTACAGAACCCTTGCTTTATCCAGTGCACTGGAGAGACCGTGATTGAGAAAGAGGGCTGTAAGAAAAGAAAGGATGTTCTCTTGTGTTTAAGGCAGTGCACAGGGACCCTGCAGCTCTGTGTTCCAACCCTGGCTCTGCTATTGATTTCCTGTGTGATAGCTGGCAAAATGACTGTGCACACACAAGGCGGTGGCCTTAATGCTTGGCTCTTCTGTGGGAAGAGGGCATACATTTGGTTTTGAAAGCTCAGTAAGCAGATTAAAATGTGTGTCTGCAGTGAAGTAATCTCCCTAGACAGCATCTTGCAGCTCTCAGCGCATTTTTTTTTTTTCCATTTTAAAAGAGGTTTCTACAATTACAGTCTCACGGTTTCTGTTGGGTTTTTGGAATACTAATGTTAGACATGTAAAATAAAAATTAACCTACCAGTGAGGAGTTTGTGCTCACCTTGATAAAGATGGGTCTGGATTGCCTTTCTTTTCCATGCTAGAAGCTACATGTTCCTCCAAAGTAGTTCAGTTTATCTCCCGCCTATTTTTCCATCACCGTCTGTACCACAGCGTAAAGGCAATGGTTTACCTGCAAAATAGCATCCTGGGTTTATTTGTGGGGCTCCCAGAAATATTGGTGATGGCAAGAAGGAATAAACCAGATCACTGTCCTAGGATAGATCCTAATGGATGTCTGGGTCAGGCTAACTGAAAATGGCTGTGGTTACAAAGAACATCTTCCCTCTTTCATTTCTCTGCTCTTTACCTACCTTCTGTACACATGAATAATCAGCCAATCCCAGTAGGTGCACTGAAGTGGGCCTTGCACTGCAGGACATACCCTCTGAAATGTAAATATCTAAAGCAGTTTAAAACAACAAAGCAGGTTACCCAAACTCGACAGAATTATTTACTGGGTCAGCTGAATTAGTCTGTGTGCTGTGCAGTTGTTAAGCTCGTGTAAGAAGAACACTGTTCTAGGTGCATTGCTTTCAAAATTACAGACCAAATACAGTAAGACTATCAGATTTTGGTGGTTCAGTGGTTAGGGCACTAACCTAGGACTTCAGAGATTTGGGTTTTAAGCGCCTGTTCTGACACAGACTCCCTGTGTGATCTTGGGCAAATCACTGAGCACCAGATCCTCAAAGCAATTTAGGTACCTAAATACCTTGTTTCAGAGTAGCAGCCGCGTTAGTCTGTATCCGCAAAAAGAAAAGGAGGACTTGTGGCACCTTAGAGACTAACAAATTTATTTGAGCATAAGCTTTCGTGAACTACAGCTCACTTCATCGAATATTCGATGAAGTGAGCTGTAGCTCACGAAAGCTTATGCTCAAATAAATTAAATATCTTTTGAGGATCTAGGCCTTAGTCTTCCTATACCTCAGTTCCCCATCTGTAAAATGGGGATAATAGCACTCCCTTCCATCATAGGGGTGCTGTGAAGATAAATACAGTAAAAGATTGTGAGGCACTCAGATATTACACTAATGGAGGCCATATAGGTACCTAAAATAGATATCTCAAAAGATAGAGGCTGGTATTAGGCAGTTGAAAGTCAAGTTGAAGGAAAGCCATAACAAACTAAGCCGCTGAATGAGGTTATCAAGTGCCCTTTTAGGCTTCTGACCAGACAAAAAGGAGAGGTGAGACAGAACAGGTGACTGGGGAAGGGACCTATCTTTATCTCACTCCCCTGCTACAAAGAAGTACTGGGCTCATGTGACCACCCTGCCTACCATTTCTCAGAGTTAAGCCAGTTGAATAGGGGGACTGTGAGAGACTAATTGCTTCCAAGCAGGTAAACTGTCTGAAGTGAAAGAACTGTTTCATAAGGTGATGTTCTGTTTATTTGCTTTGCTTTACTGTGTTTATGCAGCAGCCTTACTAGACCTGTAAGTATGCAGTGTTATTTCTGACTTCTTGGGAGACCTGGGTAAAACACAATAGTTCCTCAACACAGTGAAAACATGCCTTGGTCTTGCTCTGTAGTCAGGACAATACCACGTTTTAACCATATTCCCAAATCATGTTCTCATCATGTGAAGTCCAAGCCAGAGCACAGTCAATATCAACTGAGTTCCAGCTTCTCTATGTTATTAGACCAACCATGTTGACATCACATTGGAAGACTATATTGCATCTGGCTCCTCCAAGATGGCAGAAACCACATAGTAGTGTCCTTGGGTCCTGTCTTCTCTGAGAATAAAACTGTGCAAGTTAACTACACCATGTTTAAGTCTAGTTTTTCTAGCAGGATTCCCAGAAAAGGGATCTTATATGTTAACTGTGTTGTACAGTCTGTGGACAACCAAATAGTGATTATAATACAGTGATCAAGGTAATCATGCTAGTATCCTAATAGTAATAACTGTATAATTGTGATTCCAGGTAGCACAGTTCTGATCACATTTGGTCAAGGCCTTTTTAGTGATATTTTATGGCGGGAAAAAAACATACCATGGTCCCACACATAACCTTACATGGCCTCCTGAAATGTGTGTGCTCTGTATAGCAAGATTGGCTAGATTGGGCACTACTATTTACAGTTGCTCAAAATACCAGGTCAAGGGACAGACAATGAAATTGAAAGGGGGCAAATTTAAAGCTGATAAAAGGAAATACATTTTCAGATGATATGCAATTAGCGTGCACAGTTCACAGCCACAAAATACAGCTGAGGCTTAGCAGGATTCAAAAGAAGATTAGACCTTTATATGGATAGCAAGAGGTCTGGCCTAGTGAATAGGGAAGAAGCAGTAGATGTGATGTATCTTGATTTTAGTAAGGCTTTTGACACAATCCCACATGACATTCTCACAAGCAAATTAGGGAAATGTGGTCTAGATGAAATTACTATAAGGTGGGCGCAAAACTGGTTGAAAGGCCATACTCAAAGACTTGTCATCAAAAATTTGCTGTCAAACTGGGAGGGCTATCTAGTGGGGTCCCACAATGGTCTGTCCTGGGTCCAGTACCATTCCATATTTTCATTAATGACTTGAAAAACGGAGTGAAGTGTATGCTTATAAAATTTTCAGATGACACCAAGCTGGGAGAGGTTGCAAGCACTTCGGAGGACAGGGTTAAAATTCAAAAGAACCTTGACAAATTGGAGAATCGGTCTGTAATCAACAAGATGAAATTCAGTTAAGACAAGTGCAAAGTACTACCCTTAGGAAGGAAAACTCAAATGCACAACTACAAAATGGGTAATAACTGGCTTGTTAGTAGTACTGCTGAAAAGGATCTTGGGATTATAGTGGATCACAAATTGAATATGAGCCAACAACCTAATGTAGCTGTGAAAAAGGCTAGTATGCTAGGGTGTATTGACAGGAGTGTCGTAGGTAAGACATAGGAGATAACTATCTCTCTCTAATCAGCAGCCTCAGCTCGAGTACTATGTCCAATTCTAGGTGCCACACTTTAAGAAACATATGGGAAAATTGGAATGAGTCCAGAGGAAAGCAACAAACATGATAAAGGGTTTAAAAACCCTGACCTATCAAAAAAAGGTTTAAAAAACTGGGCATAATTAGTCTTAAGAAAGAAGACTGGGGGGACCTGATAACAGTCTTCAAATATGTTAAGGACTGCTATAAAGAGGACGGTGATCAATTGTTCTCCATGTCCACTGAAGGTAGGACAACAAGTAATGGGCTTAGTCTGTAGCAAGGGCAATTAAATTTAGATAGTCGGAAAAACTTTCTAACCATCAGGATAGTTAAGCTCTGAAATAGGCTTCCAAGGCAGTTTCTGGAATCCCCATTACTGGTTGGACAAAAACCTCTCAGGGTGGTCTAGGTATATTTGGTTCTGCCTCAGCACAGGTGTCTTGAGGTCCCTTCTAACCCTACATCTCTATGATTCTATAAATCTTCATTCTTCAAGGCAACCTCTGTCTGATGGGGGTTAGGCAGAAATTTCCCTGTGAGCAGATTACCCTGTAGGATTTCTTGCACCTTCCAGTGAAGCAGCTGATACTGGCCACTGTTTAATATAAGATACTGGACTAGATAGACCACTGGTCTGAGCCAGTATGGCAATTCCTATACAGAAGCTATATAATCCTAACACAAAATTCATGGCTATCACTTTGCTCATTGTTGTGTATTGTTTCTGTGATGTCTGTAAAGCAGTTTTTATGTCATTAAAAACTATACTAATGAGAAAAGGCCATGAGAGGCTGATTAAACCAGAACCTAGGAAAGAAATTAACCTTAGAATTCAAGTTGCCATATTTTACCATAGGTTCTGGTTAGCAGTTGAAGATTTGAAGAAGAGACCTAATCGTGAAGTACCTGCTCGAGTCCAGGAAATCTGGCAGGAGTTTCTTGCTCCAGGAGCTCCCAGTGCCATCAATCTTGATTCCAAAAGTTATGACAAAACCACACAGAATGTGAAGGACCCAGGAAGATACACATTTGAAGATGCTCAGGTCAGTACATGATCTTCATCCAGGCACTTCTGAGGTATAGCACCAGCCACTTGGATGCACACTCTTACAAACACACATATTTGGTAAATATAATATAGTGTTCACTTTTCTAAAAATATCAGTATCAATGCAGTATGGGGGAAACTCATTCCTTTGATTAAGACCTATGCATTGCTAAAGTGTCATATGAGCCACAATTTTGATGACTGTAGTGGTGCAAAGGCTTCAAGCTGGCCCTCTGCAGATGTGCGAATTTGCCCTGCTAGCAGGGGGTGTAGTGCAATATAGGTACAGTGAAACTAATTCTCTTCAGGTACCAGTTTTCTTAATCCTTTTGCTCGGTTGCATTAAAAAATGCTACAGAAAATCAAATGAATTTCTGCCTCTCAGGATCTGCTCTTGAAGGACTTTTCTTAATCAAAATGAGGAATCTGTTTTCCTCTGGATGCATGTTCATAACTCTCATTAGCGTTTATAGGAGGCAAAAGTTTATTCCAAGGAAAGACAAAAGTTTATTCCAAGGAAAGACTGTTTATCCCACAGGAGAAATAAATACAAAGACTTGTACTGAGGTTATTTCTGAATCCTGACCTATGTACAAGTGAACCTTATAAATCTCATTGTAAAAGTAATATCCACAGAACAGCATGGTAGGCTTCTAGGAACTGTTCTTCAAGGAGTGATATTCTACGAATGAAGGACAGTTTGAGTATGACTTCCTAAGGTTTTTTTAATAAAGAAATATGGTACCATACACATAGCAAACAGATAACTCCAATCCGAGTGGCCTTTGTTTTAGATTGAGAATAGCAAAGCACAAAACAGCAAAATTTCCACGAGAGAGCACACAATATATGTCTCCTCTGTAATAGTCTGCATTAAACTAAACACACAATGGTTGTCTGCCTCCACTGAACCCTTAGAGATTTAATGGTACAGTACACAGAAAACAAAGACATAAATTACATAGTTAAATACTTCAGAAGCTCTGGAAGCAAAGCTATGTTTAAACTGCAATTGCTAAAGAAGAGCAAGCTTCCTTGCCATTATCCTAGTTTTGAAAATGGGTATGAAAGTTCAACACTCCTTTATTTTCTTTCTAGAGTTTTTCCATTTGTGTATGGTCTGAAGTATGCAGTCTCTATGCAAAGGGGCTTTTTCCCATCAGAACTCCTTCCTTTGATCCAGTTCAGCATAATTTAAGTCTGGCAGTGAACACTTCTCACTCAGAGCAAGCAGGATAGGACCCACCTGTGCTGCCTTGAACATTATGATCTTTACCCACGGTGCTTAAGTGGCAAAGACTTTTTCAGTAGAGGACCCCTTCTTTTGGAATTTGCTGCTTGTGATGGTCTGCCAGGTTTTGAGTTGAAGAGCCTCTAGGGCATCAAACAAATAACTTTATTTTTGTTTAAAATACAGCTCTACTCTGTAAGTGACTCACTATAAAAATGGCATCATGGGGTTCCATATTTGTCTCTTGTAGAGTCCAAATCTAATGTGTTCAATTTACAAGTAAAAAAATGTTTTTTCTAACTCCAGCTTTGCCAGCTTAACCTGGAATCTGAGAAGCAACCTGGGTTCATTAGTTCTTGTGCATTACTACCAGTAATAAGCTCTGCAGGTTAAGTTATTCTCCGTGACACTTCTGCGTGGCTGCTGTTTGCAATGGTGTTTGCAAAGATTTAATTGGCTGAATATTGTTAACCAATTCTGTTGATACTGTGGATGAAGGAACAGAATCATCTTTGTTCTCTCTTAGCTGCATTAGCTGTGCTTACAAAAATCAAATGGTGTAAAGACTCACTAAAGGGGCCAGATCTGACTCTGAATGCATGAAGGTAGCATGTTGGGTCAGAAGATGCTATTCTTTACATGATCGCTTTTCAGAGATTATAAATGCATTAGATTATCAAAACTGAAAGAACTTTGAAAATTTGATCGACTTCTACCCTACATTTTGTCCCCTTTTTGTTTACTTTCTCCATTCACTCAGCTTGCACTGTATAAAGTGTTAGGGGTTTCATTTTCAGGTTCATTCACTAGGTCAGTGTTGTTGTGCCAGCATTTCCCCTATACTGCAAGAGAGAGTTTAAGTTATTTTATAAACTGGTTTCATTGAATGTTTACAAATCTATATTTCTATTCATATTGAGTTTTTTAAACCCTCCCACCCCAGCTGTATAAAAACAAATACAGACTCATGGACTTAGACTACTTTACATTTTAGCCCTTCAGTTTTTAGGGCATTCTTTGAATTTGATTTCTGAGCATTCTCTCTCTCTGTAGCAGAGGCCGCTCAACACAATCTGTTGCCCTAGGCACACTTTAGTATGCTGTCCCCTGCGCCACTCAGGTTTGGCCCAGTCTCCCCTCTGTCATAACAGATGGGCGACCAGGCCAAATCTACTACCCTGGGCAACTGCCCAGAAATCTGCAGCCCTTGGAAGCTGCCTAGCATACCTATAGCTAGAGTGGCCTCTGTTCTGTAGATATTTGTAAATTCTTCAGGGCATGACTTCACATGCATCTGAACGGTACCTGGGGTATGATCGTGTGACCCAGTTCATGGGGCATGATCTTGACTGGGATCTCAGGACACTACTATATATAAATATTACCAGATAACTACATTAAACTGGATTTATGTCTGAGTACATATCAGTAATTTTCAGATAAACATATTACAGGGATATTGTAATTATCTGAAAACCAGATCCAGGAAATAGTTAAGGTTCAATTTAAAATAAATCCAAACATGTTATGGTATGGAAATGGACAGTTAAGGCATCCAAACAACTTTAACGCTGCCCTATAGTGAAGTGATGCAGTTACAATCAGTGCATAATAGTGTTTGCAGTCCCAGATTAGATTAAATTTAAAGACACATTTGACTCTGCACCCCTCATGGTATCACTACAGAGTAGAGTTTAACAGAATGGCTAATTTAACCCTAAATACAATGTCTTCAAGTGTAGCCCATGGATTAAATTTTAGTAAATTTATCTATAATGGAAGTTTTGAAGAGTCTATTTAGCTGATGTACTTGTAAATTCTCAGAAAATTCATTCGAATACAGAAGGAGTGCTGTAATTTAAAGGGAAGGTACACTGTATTCTTCACACATGACAAAGTGGTGGATTCTACTTTAAGTACAAAAGTCAATTCAGCCTTAACTTTAGAACTGCAGCGAGTGCTCTTTCCATAAAAAATATACGAATAATAATCTCTAGTATCTCTACTATCTCTCGATAATGGCATTAAATATTCTGTTATGCATCTTTTTGATCTTAGTCCACTGCATCTTGTTTTCAGAACATTAATTCAAAATGTCAATTTTTTAAATTTTATGTCTTTTCTCTTTAGGAGCACATTTACAAACTGATGAAAAGTGATTCCTATCCTCGTTTTATACGATCCAGTGCCTACCAGGAGCTGCTACAGGCCAAGAAAAAGGTATTAGTCCATCTTGTCTTTTTGTTGCCACTGTGCTCAGTGGTGGTGATGTTTGCTACAATACGTGGATTTCTCTCCCCTGTGCAAGTGCTGCTGGATATCTGGTAGGTAACCAGGTTGGCTTATTTAGAGTGTCACATACATACAGTAGTTTGATAAATGGATCCTGCACGTGTGTATGTTTTAATAAGTTAAATTAGCCCAAAACCTATTTTTATTTTTACATCTCACATTGTAGCACTCTTTCTGTTACCAAGCAATTTAAACTGAAAAGTAGTTTACAAGTACGTTAAATAAAACAAAATGCCTGCAGTATAGTCTTGCAAATTTGCAAATATAATGATTCTCCTTTTCTTTATTTTTATTTAAAAAACCTACTAATTTGTTTAAAATTGATCTCACTGGTATGAATAACTTCTGATTTCATTTTTTTAAAAGTATCCTAGGATTTCGCTTTCTCTCCCTGTTATTAGATGTCTAGTTTTTATGAGGTTAGGAATCTGATATGAATGTAAGATCGTGTTATACTCAGGCAAACAAAAAATCTTACCATGATACATGACCCTTGCTTTTTAAGGTTCAGATTATGCAATGAGCTCGGCACAGACAAACCCTCACTGTGTGGAGCATCTTACATGATAGGGGGTCAAAGTGCTGAATGCAAGGAAATTCCAAAACATTTTCCGATGCAAAAGTCTATAATGAAATTGTTGTTTGTTATTAGTGGGTCTGATTCTGCAACCACCACAAATTCTGAAATCCTATTGCAATCAGTTGGGAACACTGTTTGCAAAATCACGCCCATTATCCTATGTAGAAGTAGTAGTAAGCTAGTTATGATCTTGATAATACTAAACTGTGCATAAAATGAAAACCTAAAAATTATATGGAAGTACTGTATGGTTTTTTTCAAATGTTAGTTTCTGAACATCCAATATGGAGAAATGTTGAAAGTTCCAGAGAGCTGCTACTGTGTATGCGAAGTCCTTAAGTTTTGCAAATCTCAGTTCATTGACACAAGAAATGCTCTTCATTATTTTTTTTATTTTCAGTTTTTCTTTTTAATCAAACCAGTTTGATCCACCTGAGAAATGTTTTTTTAATCAAATATTATAACTGCTTTGCCTGTCCATTGTTATATAACAGGCATTCATTAGCAGCTTCATACCTACTTTTGCTTCTTGATTTGTACATGAGCTTTGTTTTGCAGTCCATTGTTTCATCATCCTTCTTTTCTGCTCTATTTGTTTCTTGCTCTTCTTCTTTTTTCTCCCCTTTTCTTTTCTTTTTCCTTTTTTTATTTCCCCCTTTTTTAAATTTAAGTTGGAAAACACACTGGATCGTCGAACATCTTTTGAGAAATTCACACGCAATGTGGTAAGTTTGTTACCTTGGCAAACTAATAAGCCTGATCGATGAAATACCTTTCTCCCCACCACCACCCTAATCCCTCACCTTTACTCCTGTATGACAGCAGATAAAGTTTTGCATTCATGCAAGTTTACAACTTTACATAGAAATGGCAGCTTTGTACTAGGCTTTCATTACAGTTCTCCCTCAGCTCTCTCTCCTTTTACTGACTAACCTCAGAGAAAACCAGGTTGTTATTGTTGCCATAAATGGAGGAAAGGACCTGTGAGAGCCATACTGTCTGCATTAAGGAACATGAAATACACCCTAGAAAATGGAGTTAATTCACTCTTCATTTTTTTATTAAACTAAAGGAACATCTGGAAACCTGCTTCATGCTGTTACTTTTCCTAGTGCATCATAAGAACAGACATACAGGGTCCATCTAGCCCAGCATCCAGTCTTCCGACAGTGGCCAGTGCCAGACACTTCAGGGGGAATGAACAGAACAGGGCAATTATCAGAAGATCCATCCCCTGTTGTCCAGTCCTAGCTTCTGGGAATCAGAGGTTTAGGGACATGTGGAGAAATAAGTTGTGTCCTTGACCTTCCTGGCTAATAGCCATGGATGGATCTATCCTCTAATTCTTTTTTGAACCCAGTTATAATTTTGGTCTTCACAACAGCCCCTGGCAATGAGTTCCACAGGTTGACTTCACGTTGTGTGAAGATGTACTTCCTTACGTTTGTTTTAAACCTGCTGCCTATTAATTTCATTGGGTGACCCCTGGTTCTTGTGTTATATAAAGGGGTAAATAACACTTCACTCTTCACTTTCTCCACACCATTCATGATTTTATAGATGTCTGTCATACACACACACACCCCTTAGTCATCTTTTTTCTAAGCAGAACAGTGCCACTCTTTTTAATCTCTCCCCATATGGAAGCTGTTCCATCCCCCTACTGATTTTTGTTGCCCTTCTCTGTATCTTTCCAATACTAATATAACTTTTTTTGAGATGGGGTGACCAGAACTGCACACAGTATTCAAGGTGTGGTCGCACCATGGCTTTATATAGTGGCATTAAGATGGCCTCCCCAAATACTATGTTTGATGTATTTTTTAATACATTGGATTCCTTTCCTTTTGCTATTCCTATTTTGTCCTAGATGGGGTCTGGCCAATTTTATAATGGGGCATGGAAAGGGGTGGGAAATAACCTGTAACAAATGTCCCCAACTTCTCTCAAGCCTAATAATGCTTCTCAGGTTCAAAGGTGCCTTGTGAGCAGTTGATGCTTATGATGCACTAGGGATTTCTTTGAATGTCATTTCAGTGACACAGTACAAGCAGCCAAAATTCCTGCCTACATGCTTCAATTCTGCTCTGTTCCTTATTCACTGAAAAGTAAGAATTTATTTTTGAAAGATGTTCCAGCAAGGTAAAAATGGAGGTTGGTGGATTTCCTATCCACATTTTCCCACCACCAGCTATGAGTTCCACTGATGTCCTCACTTACTGGATTATTTTTATTTGTGCCAGTCTTTGGTTTTTTTTTGACATTGTACAAGTTCAAACTAAAGCATTCAACACATTTATTTTTGTAGGGCAGAAACATCCCTATTTTTCCATGCCATAAAAACTGTACACCAACACTGAGGGCGAGCACTAACCTGTTATGAAAAGAGGTAGAAAGATCTTGGATTATACTCAAGTTTGTCTGCATTGTCTGTTGAATTGTGCAGTTCACGCTGCTGTGTGTGTTTGTTGTGGCTTTTGCTGTGACAATCAGTTAATGGAGCTGTGTGTGTTGAAATGAAAAGTATAAAGAGCTTCAGCAAAGATCATGGTTTTTGTTTTTAGTTTCTAAGGGAGGAGGGGCAGTTCTCATAAACGGCCTCCTGTATAATGAGTTCTTAACTCCTTAAAATAAATTTATTTTATGCTAAACATAAAAGAAACAAGTGAACTGAAAGAACAAAGTTCTATGAGGCTGTGGGGGTATCTCACATGCTAAAAGAAAACAATATATTTTTTGATGTTTCATTATAGATAAAGGTTTCCTGTAATACATATTGGGTATCTTATTTTGTAAATTCAGAAATTAATTTGGATTCAATGGGACAAAGCCACTGAAAGTCCAGGTAAAAGTTGTTAGCTAAAACTCATTAAAAATAAATAAATAGCTATGAAACAAACAAAAAGTTTGAAACAAAAACCCCTATTTTTTGCATGGTGGTGTTGCCACAGCATGTTTCACTGTGATTTATGTATTGTCTAAAGAGATTGTTCTATAAAACAATTTTATAATATAACACTCATACTTTCTTTCACTGAGATGTTTAATTGGAGTTCATGTCTTATATAATCAAGGCTGTACTAGTAAAGAAAACATGGGAACAATTACAACATACTGTGACTTTTGAGAGCTAAACTTTTCCCAATCAACAAGTGGCAACCTACAATAACTGGGATAACTATGGGAGTTTTGAACCAAAGGTGGCCCAGAGCAGATGAAATTATTTCAGTCTGACTAGTGCTGTTGAGAAGAAAATTTAGCTGTCACTGCTAATATATAATAAAATAATAATATATAATATAATATGTAATGTCCTATATATAGATAAAACCCAGATAAAATATGAACCAGAATGTTAAATTTAATGCACAGTAAATTGTTGAAGAATGTTACCCAAAGTAAATTTTAACTTTTCTGCAATGTATTCATTCTCACTCTAAATGTATCTCCACTTTTCCTCCACTCCCTTTAATAACTTTTGTCTTTCGAACTTTGTCACCCTGTACCCCAGAACAAGGTAGATGCCACAGAATGATTTGGGAAATTTGCATTAAGTAATAACAATTCTGCGTTAGGGTAAGAACAATAAAAAATGGTGGAGCATAAAAGAAAGAATGTAAGGGGAAGAGAGTCTGGGCAGGGGAAAGATTTTGGGGTGAATATAGCACTAAAGGAGAGCAAGTGAGGAAAGAATGGGTGAAATAACGGAGTAGTTGGCTAGAATTTAAGAGGGTGACAAAGTCTTCCCAACTATATGTTTAGCATTTTGCCTTGATATATAGGTATTTGGTCCTTTTTTTTTTTTTTTTTTTGTGCTGGCTTGTTACTGGGGAGTGGGAATAAAGTATCAGTACTCTTCTTATTTCTCCCACCACTACCAGGATGTAAGAAGGTTCCGGATAGGCCCATTTCTGCAAGGTGCTGAAAATCTCCTGTGTGGTGCCGAAACCCTCAACTCCCATTGTAAACAGCAGACTCTTGGCAACTCCCAGAATTGGCCCTCAAATGAGAGCTATGTATTTGCGACATGATTCTATCGTCTGTGATATCTCTTTTTTACTCAGAAAAACTCAACTTAGCAACACTTTTACGGGAGGTCCTGCTCTTATCAGCTGTGTCTACTGCCATAAAAAGGGCCAACTATTCAAACACAGGCACTTCAGTTGCCACTGTGTAGTACACATGCGCACACACTGAGCAGTAACAGCACAGACATATCTGGACTTGTTGCTTGCCAATGGGAGTACTTGTGCACTCAGTTGCTCACCAGCTGCCCATATTCATATGTACAATGTCCTGTTTGTGTATGCACATGGATAGTTTGCATGCCCAGCAAAGGCATCTCTTTGAAAATTTAGCCATAAAAAGTTCTAGGCATAGTCCCATCACCCAGAACATCAGTGATCGTGACTGGACTGGAAACCAGGAGGACTTCCCCATAAAGACTCTGTTGGGGACAATTCTGATGTCCTCACTCTCAGTGACTTTTGTGGTAGTTTTGCTTGAGATAAAGACTGAGGGCTAGATTGATTCACAAGGGGGACTTAGGTGCTGTGAATACCCAGGGTGTCTAAATGTTAGGCTTAGGCACCTATGCCCCTTTTGAAACTAGTCCCAGGTGCCTGATTCTGCCATCTTTACTCAAGGTGAGTAGTACCCTTCTCTTCAAGCAGGTTCAGTGACTTCAATGAATTGATCTCAATGTAACTGCTTCAGTAGCAAGGTGCAACTCAGTGTGAGTAAGGCAGGTAGAGTGAAAAGTGGACTTCTGGATTTTGCAAACCAGCACCCCGTCAGTTTACAAATTGATATAATTGTATAACAATACCCTGGCTAGATTGTTTGTGGGGCTGTACCCCAGAACTCTGAAGCTAAAAGCATGGCCCTCTAACAACTTAGAGAACCATAGAGGGGGGGAGAGAGACTCACTCTGGGTTACACTTGCCTGCAAAAGCATTTGCTAAATCAGAAAGTTCTCTTGAGACTTTCCCTTCATTACACAATATAGTTATTTCTGTAATAGAATGATTCATTTTTCTGGCCGTGTGACACAGTGAAAAAAAATTAAAGGACAGAAAAGCTAAATTCAATTTTGTATTTCTTGGAGACTGGAAAAAAAATCTTTCTAGAAAGCTCTCAGTAATTCAGTTCATTTTGTGAAAATCCTAAATGTACTACATGCTATCAAATATTGATGAGCTATAGATATCTGCATGTTTATATTGCCACATAAACTTCATAGCTGCAAAATTATAACCCTCCTGGTATTCTCTACTATAAACCAATATCAATCAATGATGCCATAAAGGTGTGCACTATATAGACACAATAATAGCATGGTGAAAAGATTTCTATATAAATGTAGCATTTATTACTGATCACAATACGTTTTACGAGTATATAGAAATGAATAGCAAAAAGGCAAAATTCTTCTCTTTATTTTGCTTTTGTATACTCAGAACTCCCAAATAACTCTGCAGAAATACATTGCAGCACACCGAAAATGAAGTGACATGTAGATGTTCAGTTGAGGCATGTGCACTGATTTGGAATAGTAGCTACAGGCAAGATTATCACAAATCTTTCTCAGCCATGCATGCCTTTGTATCCCCCTGTGGAGCTGCTCAGATTATGATGTGACCACTGTGGGAAAAGCAGGTTTTATTTGCCTGATACCCCTATTCTAGTCCCGTGGGCAGGCAGGGTGGTGGAGAGGAATCAGAGAGTGGGGGAACCCTTGGCTCTTCCCACCTCCACTTGCCTGCCCAGCAGCTGGGAGAGAGCCTCCCAGCCCAAGTAAACAGACTCCTGCTCACAGCGTTTGAGCTAGAGATCTAAAAATAGCAATGAGGCCGCAGGCCCCGCACCATTCTCAGAAGCGGCCAGCACCACGTCGCTGGGGCCCCGGGGGCCGGGGGCGCAGAGTGCTTCATGCATTGCCCTTGCCTCCAGGCACCACCTCCCCAGCTCACATTGGCCGGGAACAGGGAACCGCGGCCAATGGGAGCTTCAGGGGAGGTCACCTAGAGGCGTGGCAAGGGCAGTGTGCAGAGCCCTCCCCCAGGGGCCACGCAGGGACGTGATTCCGGCCACTTCCCGGCACAGCGTGGGGCCAGGGCAGGCAGGCAGGCAGGGAGCCTGCCCTGGCCCCGGTGCGTGCCGCTGCCACCCTGGAGCTGCTTTAGGTAAGCGGCGCCAGGCCGGAGCCCGAACGCCTCCTGCACCCCCCCCCCAATTCCCTGCCTGCACCTCGCAGCCTTCCTGCACCCCAACCCACTGCCCTGAGCTCCCTCCCACACTCCACACCCTTCCTGCATCCCAATCCCCTTTCCTGAGCTCCCTCATACACCTCGCACCCCTCCTCTGCCCCAATCCGTGACCCTGAGCCCGTTCCCGCACACCGCACCCCCTCCCACACTCCGCACTCCCTCCCGCACCCCAACTCCCTGCCCCAGCCTTGCATACAATTTCCCCACCCAGATGTGGCCCTCGGCCCAAAAAGTTTGCCCACCCTTGGTTTAGACAGAAATCCTGCATCTTGGCAGGGGGCCAGACTAGATGTCTCTTCTGGCCCCTTCTAAACCTAGGATTCTATAAGTAACTAATTTACTCTGTCTCCCAGAGCAAGAGAGGAATTGTGGCTGAGTCAGGACTTGTTCTCTGATGTGCTCCTGGGGAGATGCAACAATGTAACACTCCCTAGACAAGGTAGATTGTAAGGTTACAGCCTATTGAGGGAAGTCTGTCTGTGTGGAGGGGAATTATAAGCAAAGCACCACATTGCTCACTGGGGCAGTGAGTAATAGCAAACTAAAGTCTGCTGCAGTTTCCACGGTATGCATCCGATGAAGTGAGCTGTAGCTCACGAAAGCTCATGCTCAAATAAATTGGTTAGTCTCTAAGGTGCCACAAGTACTCCTTTTCTTTTTGCGAATACAGACTAACACGGCTGTTACTCTGAAACCTACAAACTTACTGTAACTTGAGCAGAGAGGAAGGAAGCGATAGTTGGCTGCCAGTAAATAGAACAATCCATGCAACAGAGGGAGGGGGTTTACTAGGTCAGAAAAAGAGCCTGAGGTTAGGTTGAAGCTAGCTAATATGTATTAACTAACCGCAATATAGAACCATGACCTTTCCTTAGTGTGGATGCAGGTTAACACCTTTACCTCGATTTAGTTGGCTGGGCTTGCCCCTGACGTCCCCCTTAATGCAATATGTCAGATGTGTGTGAGCAATAAGTGTGCTGTCTGAGGGCTTCGCCAGCTGCATGTTTGATTGCAATGTCAAAGTCCTCCACCTTCAAAGCCAGCCTAGAAGTTCCCTGGAATAACGTATCTGTGTTCACTCTTTTTGTAGGACTTCAACAGTGTATTTAAATCCTATCCT